CTTTACCATTGAACAAAACCCATTAGTGCTGTTAGTTGAATAACAGGCATTGTGCAGATGAAAATGCTACAGCCCACACCTGAAAAATGACCTGGTAACACGACATCCGTTTCTTTTTAAAACAACAGAACCAAAGAGTAGATGACATTTTGGGTTTTTGGACCATTCAAGTACATACACGCATCTGCCGAATTTGATGTATTAAGTTTTCATTAACTGTAGACGTCATTTATCGGGCTTGCAGTAAGTGCACACGCGCACAGTTATAAAGTAATGCCATATACAGCCCTGTAAAAAATGTTTTTTTACACACAATTAATTGGAAAGCTCCATTCCGCTTACCACAGAGACAGCATTATTTGCTCTTATTTTACCGTAAAAAAACGATAATTCACCCTTAATCCCCCATGCCATAATACACCATGCATGAGCCAATGGCTGATTTGTGAGCCACTCGCTCTGGGCACTTCTGGATGGAGCCTGACAAGTTTGGCACTTACAGTAAATAGTATTAGTGGAACACCTCCCATCGACGTTCAGCGTTCAACCACCGCCAGCCACTCGGACGTTCCTAACCCCCTCCCACCCCCCCGCTGATATGACCCCACCAGTCTGGCCGAGGTCCAGCTAGCCGACAGTCTGCCCAGACACCCGCTATAAATAGCCGTGCGACACAACAAACCGACTGAACGAAAGGCGGGGAAGGAGGAACTTGAAATGCCTCCTCCACAGCACTTAAATGTCTGTTGAGCAATCGCGAGCAAATCATCTGCCCAAGATAAAAATCGGCATCTCGCTTGCAAGCAGCGCTCCTTCACTTGGCAATGCAGCGCTGTCATTTTCTGGCTAAAGTACTCTGGCCTGTTGGCCGAGCGAGGCAACCGGCAACAAGGGTGTAGCCTCCCACCAATGTTCTCTCGGTGGCTCACAAGTGTTTACTTCGTGTAATCATTTGTTTTCGTCTCTTCCCCTCTGGGGGGACGGCTCTCCACTCTCCCGGAGGGAGGAACGGAGCCGGGGCACGAAAACATCTCTTGACAAAAGCACTTCAAAGTGGTTTAGGTGCGAGTCTGCAGGCGCTCTGTATAAACAATTAAACCGTTCCTGCTGCAGACAGTCGATGCCCATTCGCCCATGTCCTCCACCTCCTCCTCGGAGTTGTCATTACGTACGTGTGGGAGTCCTCAAACTCTGGCACCAGCACAACACATCGCACGGATGCCAGTGCATTATTGCGAGCCAATCCCTGGGCAGTTGCATGGCTACATTCCAAATTGTTGTAACTTTTTCGAGCTTGTGGAAATGTTACGTTTCCACGTAAGGCTGCTGATGGAACGAAATACTGCATATGCTATTACTCCATAGAGAAACACTGTGATGGGTTTATCGCAGCTCTCTTCACATTATGCATCTAACGTGTAGCAAAATGTCTGTCAATAATCATGATAGGTATTATGTCGCATTGCAGAGAGTGCTGCTTAGTCGGCCGACAGGTTCGTCAAGTTAGCCTGTGGGCAGACCGAGAATGGTGGGGTAAAGTGTAAGATACTGTCACCTCATCTAAGACGTATGGCCAGCCTATACAAAGGGAGGCCAAAATCCCTGGAGAGGTAATATAGAGCCATGCCTCAAGTGGGGGCGTCGTCTTTGCAAGCAGTGGTGTGAGCCAGACATTTTACCATTGGCTGTTGCAAATAGTTCTGCAGTGTTTAGGGCAATGCGCTTAAACTTTTGTGACACCGGTTCAATCCCACCCTCTTAGCACTAGACCTCCAAACAATTTCTAAGTAAGGGCATTCATGAGTCTGAAATGACTGCTCGTGCTGTAACTGTATTTGCACAGCCATAGGATGGAACGTGCCCGAGTGGAGAGGGAGCGGTGGGATTAGTCCACGTGGAGGAGCGAGATGGATGGTGGCAGCACAGAACCATGAAGAATGGCGATAGCACGGGGCAGCCTTCATCCAGCAGTGGACAATGACTAACAATGACTAACAATGGGTTGCACTCGAAAGTACTACCACTGTCGAGATCGGAGTGATGAGATTAGTTAATGTGTGGAGGAGTGAGATGGGATTGTGCCATCCGCAGGAATGTGAGGGATGGCAAAAGCCTTTCAAGAGACTTTCATCCAGCAGTGGATGGACAATGGAGAATGATGATGCTGATGGTCGTATTTACTGCACTTTAGAAAGGCAACATTTTTAGATCATCTCTACCCAATGAGTCTCATCCATCTCACTTGCCACTACCAAGTGCTAATTACCCCTGCGAATCTCTCAAGTCAAACGGACTCTTGTCTGCATTGTGCTTAGTGCGGTGTTGGATTTGAACTGTTCGACGTAAAAGTGTCGTGTCAAGTTCAAGAATGCCGGAGCTTAACTTAACGCTGCACAGAGATATGTTTAAGCAGCATACAGTAGGTGGCGACCAGCTACAGTATTCAACCCAATAGGCAGTGAAAGTGATCCTGTATGTATCACACTCACACTACTCTGTAGATTTGGCACACGGGCAATTCTGTGCTTAACGGAATTTACATGTTAAACGGAATCGCAATAACAATGTGGACATTTTCGACACAGCGATGTTATGCATTTCGTTAAGAAACTATTAAAAGCCGAGATGATGCCCGTGTTAAATGCTGTGATTATCTGGGCCCTATGCTGTCCCAATTCTGTAACACATTACCGTGGAATTGAAAATTTAAAAGTGGAGTGGTGTACAAACAGAAACTTTCCACGTGTCATCAAGAATGCCCTACAACGCAACAAAGGCTGATGTTTGGACCAATGACCCTTCTTGCTCTCTGCTCTCAAGTAGGGCCGTCGTTTGAAACGTCAGCCTATTATACATTTTTGGAAGGCAGTCCACTTGAATGTTGCGAGTCTTTGTGGGTGTGCATATGCTACTAGAATAGAGACCATTTACTGTTGTAAATGCTTGTGTTGTTAAAGTGGGGGGAGGGAGAAGGCGTGCAGTGGGTTGCCCTGTGATCCCGGCGACCTGAGTTCTATTCCCGGCCACGGCTAACATCAGTGGCGAGTGATATATTGTCTGGGCCTGGACCCTGCCCTCCACTCCCCCACTTTCATTTCTGAGCAAACGACTTAAGGCCAAACGATCCCCATGACAGACACGGCATGCGTTTCAGTACGCGTGTAATGTTTATTATATTTTACAACCTTTAGTCAATCAATCCACGTGCTGGATAAAGGCTTCCCTCCCCAAGCTGCGTTGGTCATGGGGGGCGAGAAGAGTGGGTTTCTTTGACTATACTTCACCCCGCTAGTTTAACGTGGTCAATGCGGATCGGTGAAGGTGGTACATGTAGGAAAAGGGGATGGGGGTGGCCGGGAACCAGTTCAGATATCCACCACTCATCACTGCCACTGATGTTAGCCGGGACCCAGAAATGAACTCTTCGTATTGCAATGCGCTAAGCACAAGCGCCGCCACCCCCACCCCCAATATGTATTACACGTTGCGTGGATTTGTTTACTGGGGGCAAACAGTTGTATTGCCGGCAGCTGAGACGCCAGCCCAGGCATGCATCTGGCATCTGCATGCCATGTGTTTCCCAGCCCCAATTCATTATCCCCTCCCTCCATCAGCAACATCCCCGCACGAACTTTACACTACATCACTGTACCCGCATCACCATCATCACAAGCAGCAGCGCACAACGCCAGCTCAGCCACACTGCGCGCACGTGTGAGTGAGCGTGCGTGCGTGATTGTAATGCGGGTGGTCCTGTAGCGACTGCGCCACGAACCCGGCGACCCGAGTTCGACTCCCGGTCCTGGGACTCCCCCAAGGTTGACTTAGCCTCAAATGGGCACCTGGTGCGGTGGGTAAACATCGCGTCTTGGGGGGAGACAAAGGCGGCCGGGCGTGGTGTTGGCCACCCACGCTTTACCCCGACAGTCTGTTAAAGGCTACACAGCACGGGGGGGGGGGGGGGAGGAAGTCTTTGACTATGTGGGCAACGATAGTGTAGTGGTGTAGTGACTTGGTGCACGTTCAATTTCCGCTCACGACCAAATAACACAATGACGAATATCTGAACCGGTCTCGGGCCTCCCCTAGGTCGGCTCGGCCTCATAGGAGTCCTGTACCGGACGTGTGTGTGTGTAAGAGTAAAAGCAATGGGAAGACAAAGGCGGCCGGGCGGGCGGGCGGGTCACCCCACCACATCTTGTGCCGTGCCGGCCTTGAAAAGTGCTCGCGAACGGCGCTTACCCCAACAGTCTGTGAAAGACTATAACGGGGATCTTATATATACTACTGTATATATACTATATATATCTTTGCGTTTGCCTTTGTGCGAGTTGAACAATGGACTGAAGGATGTGCAACAACAAAACAAACACCCTGGGACCGTTATAGGGGTGGGTGGCCAACGATAAGAGTGCAGTATACAACAAAATCTCAACAACACCAACAACACCACCACGTTACCATCTTGATGCAGGAATGAGTCCAGCCGGGCACTCAAGAGACTATGCATTCATTCGTACAAAGATAGTGCAGCAATTGGATGGGTGGATGCAGCAGACCCGTTCACTTAGATCCCGTTTCGTAGAAAGGTCTTTGAAAACTTAACAGTCTCCTCTCTTTCGGCCAAGGGGAGAGAGTTTGAGTCACAGAAATAGCAGAGAAGCCTCCTTACACAGGACGGATCAAAAGGCAAATAAGGCACAGCAGCAAGCAAGCAGTCAGTTCTTGGACATGTGGGCGAACTTTCCCAAGATGGGATTCTGTGCCATGTCCCTAACCCCACGTCTACAATGCTGGGACTCTTATTTCAAACCAGATCGTCTGGCTAAAAAAAAAGACCCCTCCATATAAAACACGAGCTACTAAAACTAACCCATTGGGGGGGGGGGGGGGGGGGGGGGGTGGGGGAAACTTGGCCACACACAAACCCCGAATAAACGATCAGCGAGCGATCTCGATTTCCCCCCCCCCCCCCTCATCAATCGCGATCCACAAAGTACCTGGGGATGGTGATGCACTTGGTTGCGCTCGTCTGCGACGTGATGGCCTTCTCCAACTCGTCCAGCTGCCCAGTCTTCTTGAGCCTCTTCACCAAGCTCTTCACGGCCTTCTCGCACCATTTCTCCTCTTGGCTGCTCTGCACTTCTCCCTTCTTCCAGCTCAGCAGGCGCTTCACGATAGGCGGCGTGAACGGCAAAATGGACGACATTGCTTGCTTGCTTGCCTGCCTGCCTCTGCTCTCTCTCTCTTCTCTCTCTCTCTTCTCTCCTCTCTCTCTGTGTGTGTGTTGTATGGCTTTTTTTTCGGGTCCTGTTCTCTGCGCTTGCTCGCTCGCTCCCTCGGTGTCTCCCCACTCTTTCCCCCCCCCTCCCTCTTCCCTATCCACACGCGGGGTGACACACAGAGAGAGAGAGAGAGTCTCTGCAGTGTCGCGCTTGGACACTCGGAAGATAAATTAAAACACGAATAAAAAAAACCCACTGGGAAAGGACTTCCCTCTCTCCCTCGTTCCCGTCCTCCTGTTCTTTGCTCTTCGTATTATTATCGTCTTGCCTCGTCTTCTCTGCCTGTATTTGCCTATCCAGGAGTCGTCCGCCTGTCCCGTGCGTGCACGTGTTCAGACGAGCAGTGGAAGAAGGCTGTCCTTGACTGCGCTCCGCGCTGCTCTTCACCTGGGACTGTGCCTCCTGCGTCTATAGGATCAGCAGCAATAGGCACACACACACGTGAGAGCTGTACTGCCTCCTGCGTCTATAGGATCAGCAGCAATAGGCACACACACGTGAGAGTTGTAACTGCCTCCTGCGTCTATAGGATCAGCAGCAATAGGCACACACACACGTGAGAGTTGTAACTGCCTCCTGCGTCTATAGGATCAGCAGCAATAGGCACACACACACGTGAGAGTTGTAACTGCCTCCTGCGTCTATAGGATCAGCAGCAATAGGCACACACACACACGTGAGAGCTGTACTGCCTCCTGTGTCTATAGGATCAGCAGCAATAGGCACACACACACGTGAGAGTTGTAACTGCCTCCTGCGTCTATAGGATCAGCAGCAATAGGCACACACACACACGTGAGAGCTGTACTGCCTCCTGCGTCTATAGGATCAGCAGCAATAGGCACACACACGTGAGAGCTGTGCTGCCTCCTGTGTCTATAGGATCAGCAGCAATAGGCACACACAAACGTGAGCTGTGCTGCCTGCGTCTATAGGATCAGCAGCAATAGGCACACACACGTGAGCTGTGCTGCCTGCGTCTATAGGATCAGCAGCAATAGGCACACACACGTGAGAGCTGTAACTGCCTCCTGTGTCTATAGGATCAGCAGCAATAGGCACACACACGTGAGCTGTGCTGCCTGCGTCTATAGGATCAGCAGCAATAGGCACACACACGTGAGAGCTGTAACTGCCTCCTGTGTCTATAGGATCAGCAGCAATAGGCACACACACGTGAGCTGTACTGCCTGAGTCTATACTATAGACTCTATATGATCATCAGCAGCAGCAGCAATAGGCACACACGCTAGCTTATACTATAGACTCTATAGGATCATCATCAGCAGCAGCAGCAATAGGCAGCACGCGCACGGATGATAGCCGAGCGCAGGGAGAAAGGGGGAGTGAAAGACTAAAGAACGAGAAGAATAATAATAAGAAGAATAAGAATGAGACGAATAAGACTGAGAAGAATAAGACTGAGAATAAGAAGGAGTTTGCGTGCCTTCTCTCTCCCCTCTCTCTCTGTGGCTCCTCTCCGCCTGTGGCCGCTCGTAATGACCGCGGCGTTGCGATGACGACCGCGAGGCGCTGCCGCTTGGGGCTCCGCCTGCCCGCCAGGGCTGCAGGAGGGGAGAAGGGGAGAGAAGTTGCGTGGGCGCAGACAACAACAGCAGCAGCATCACACACACCACACATCACACACATCACACACACGGCACATCACACACACCACACGGCACATCACACACCACACACACACACCACACACACACACGGCACATCACACACACACACATCACACAGCACACACATCACACACATCACACACACATCACACACGCGGCACATCACACACACCACACAGCAGCAGCAGCATCACACACACACCACACACACATCACACACACATCACACACACACCACACACACACCACACACACACATCACACACACACTACACACACACTACACACCACACACACACCACACACATCACACACACACACACCACACACACATCACACTACACACACACCACACACACACATCACACACACACCACACACACACCACACACACACCACACACATCACACACACACCACACACACACCACACACATCACACACACACATCACACACACACCACACACACCACACACATCACACACACATCACACACACACCACACACACCACACACACACCACACACACATCACACACACACCACACACACACACCACACACACATCACACACACATCACACACACACCACACACACACACCACACACACGGCACATCACACACACACACCACACACACACATCACACACACCACACACACACCACACACACATCACACACATCACACACACACCACACACACACATCACACACATCACACACACACATCACACACACACCACACACATCACACACACACCACACACATCACACACACACCACACACACACACACACCACACACACACACCACACACACCACACACATCACACACACATCACACACACATCACACACACACACATCACACACACATCACACACACACATCACACACACACCACACACATCACACACACATCACACACACACCACACACATCACACACACACACCACACACACACACCACACACACCACACACATCACACACACGTCACACACACATCACACACACACACATCACACACACATCACACACATCACACACACATCACACACACACATCACACACACGCGGCACATCACACACACACACGAAGCACATCACACGCGGCACACACACGGCACATCAACATCACCAACACGCGCGTCCAAAGACAAAGATCCCCCGTGTAGCCTGTAACAGACTGTAGGGGCAAGTGCTGTTAGCGAGCACCTATGAAGGCCGGCACGGCACACGAGGGGGTGGGTGACCAGCACCACGCCCGGCCGCCTTTGTCTCCCCAGTGGCGATGTTTACACATCGCAACCAGGTACTCATTTTAGGCTGAGTCGATCTAGGGGAGGCCCAGGACCGGTTCAGACAGTCGTCACTTGGTGTTGGCCGTGAGCGGGAATCGAACCCGGGTGGCCAGGTTCGTAGCGCTAACCGCTGCACCACCGCTCCCCATAGACCAAGTGTTAGCGAGCACCTCTTAAGGTCCGGGTGGCCTACAGCACCATGCCACCTTTGTGACACTCACAAATATCCCCCCCCCCCCCCCCAATATAGCTTCAACAGAGTGTCGGGGAATTGTGTGTTAGCGAGCACCTATTAATGGCGGCACGGCATACGAGGAGGGGTTGGTTGGTCAGCACGGCCTCCGACCGCCTTTGTTTCCCCATTGCTGATGTTTGTGCATGGCACTCGGTAGTAATTTAAGGCTGAGTCGACCTCCGCGTGGGGTCGAGGGAGGGTAAGGACCGGCTTAGATATTTGTCACCGATGTTGGCCATGAGCAGGAGTCGAATTCGGGTTACCGGTTTCCTAGCGCAGTGCGCGCTAACCACCCACGAATGCACCCCCATACACACACACTGTGCTTATATCAGAAGTGTACAAATCGTATAGGAAGCGTGTTTGGTATCAGAAGTGTGTTTATATCGGAGGTGTGCGTATTTTCTGTTATTGTATGAAGTTGTTGTGCTTTGCTGTACTCCCACGATGAATGAAGACGTGCTTTAAAGTTAATTTACAAAGCTAATGTGTTTGTTAGTGCATAAACAAATACACAATTTGGATATAAAATATTTAAAAAAACATATATAGCGAGCAAAAGATCATCACGATATAACTATCGAAGACTGTATGTTACATAAGGAGCTGTACGATTATCGTGGAACTTATATCGTAAGATATATATCGCAGTATCGCCATATCGCGGCATCCCTTGCACGAACTCGAGTGATGGCTCATGCCAAGAGGGCACGGGCGGGCAGGCAATTGACCCCGGTAGCACTAAGTACCCAAGTGGTGTTTAATTTAGCTGACCATCTTCAGTTAAACAATTGGTACAGCCCTATTTGTCTATCCACTCCTGTATGTACTATTATCGTGATTATCCTTGCTCGCTGTACCATGCTTTTGTATTGTTTGTTGTTAACTTTCTAACCCGCCCCCCATCGGATTCCCGCAGCATGAATAAATATTCGCATTCTGATATTAAATCGAGGGCTTCCCCCAAGCCTTCGGGGCCGTGAGGGATATGTTTGTGTTTGTTACCATACGTCAATCGCCACGCTGTGGAATGGAGTTGGATGGAGCGTGCAGAAGAGTGAATTATGCTGCATTGCCCTCTTATGCCCGAAATGCCCATTACATCTGCTGTATGCTCATGGTTGGTGGTCACTCATCCCAGTAACCAAACAACGTTAGGGGCCGTCCATAAATGACGTCACGCGATTTTGGACGATTTTTGACCCCCACCCCCCTTCGTCACACGGCGTCACAAAAAGTCAGACCCCACCTCAAATATGACGTCACAAAGCTCTGCCCCCCCCCCCCCCAAACATATAAAACATGCTTCAAATCTGCACGCTGATGTTGTAGGAGAAAACATTTATTTTAAAAGTCTGAGAAATGTGACGTCACATTTCTCAACCCCCCCCCCTCGTCACACATCGTCACAAATGTCTGACCACCCCCCCTAGGTGTGTGACGTCATTTATGGACGGCTCCTTGGGCCAACTTTGGAGCAAGGCCAACCAACATTTGGCCATGCAGTTGGCCGAACGTCAAAGAACGTTGGACCAACGTTGCATGTTTATTGGGATCCAGGTTCATCTTTACTTGCGTTACGCTTCGTAACTTCGCGGGAGTCCTCGTGTATTAGAGGCGACAAACATGCACGCCCACTCACACGAAAAGTCCCACCTCATAGCCGGACTGTGTGCTGTTAGCGAGCAGCTATTAACGCCAGTGTAAACACGCACGCGTGTTTATGCATGTGACTCACGCACACACTCACACACACACACGCCCACGCATGCGTGCCCAGGGACGGAGCCAGAGGGGTGACAGGGTAGACAATTGTCAGCCCCGAAAAAAATCGAAAATCTAAAACATTCTGCGTGTAAGTGTACGACACTCGGTCTGGCGGACTCCGTG